CCGTCCGCCTGCAGCCGCGACTTGACCACGTCCACGGGGTAGGTGGACAGCCACGACAGGATGCCCGCCGTGCCGCCCGCCAGCAGCAGCTTGGGCACCAGCAGGCGCGCGCCCGGCTCGCAGCCCAGGCCCCGCGTGAGCGCGTCGTAGGCCAGGAAGTAGACGCCGAAGCTGGGCGTCTCGCGCAGCAGCGTGGACAGCAGGCCGCGGTTCACGCCGCGCAGGCCCTCGCGCCGGTAGATCTGCGCCAGGCAGTGCAGCGCGCCCCGGTACTCGCGCGCCGCGCCCGCCGCCTGCAGCTGCAGCCGCGTCTTGGCCAGCTCCATGGGGCAGCAGATGACGCACTGGATGGCGCCCGCCGCCGCGCCCGCCAGGAACTGGTTCCGCGGGGAGTCGCGGCCCAGCGCCCGCAGCGTGTTGCCCTGCACCCCGAACACCAGCGCGTTGATGAAGGTGAGCCCCATGAGCGGCGAGCCCAGGCCCTTGTACAGGCCCAGCACCTGCGGGGACAGAGACGCCATCAGCGCCGCCCCCCGGGTGCCCACGGGGCCCAGGTGAGTGCGTGCGCACGGCGCGTGCGCTCCCGGGACTGAACCGGGGCGCGCTGCGCTGCGCTGCGCTACATCCTCTGCTCTTGAGGCAGGGTCAGGTGGAACTTGAACTTCTGAGCCTCCTGCCTCAGCTTCCCAGAGTGCTGGGATCACAGGGGTGGCCCACGGTGCCCCAGCCCAAGCAGAATTTCATTAGTCACAGCCCCGGATCCCACAGGCCCAGGCACGCCTCACAACCCTCCGCGTCCCCGGCACCCCCTTCCCTCCCCCGGCCACTCACGCTCTCCTGTCTGATGATGGACTGGAAGCAGTGCAGCGTCCCCCGGTACTGAGGCTTGTCCCCGCTCTGCACCTGCAGCCGGACCTGCAAGCACAGGCGGGTGAGGGGCGGGCACCCAGGGGTGAGCAGCTCCCTGTGGCCTTGGGATCCCAGGGGGGTGCAGAACCAGGGACCCAAACCTCTTCAGGAAGGCTGACCCCAAGCTCTCAACCGGGGCTGGGCGTGGCAGCCCACCTCTGTGATCCCAGCACCCAGGAGGCTGAGGCAGGATGACTGCCATGAATCTGGGGCCGCGTAAGTGAGTTCAAGGCCAGCCTGCACTATTTATGAGACTGTGTCAAAACAAATCTCCATCTCAGACGGGTTGGGGCGAAGCCTCTTTTCATCACCACTGACTTACAGCGTGCCATGGTGGGCCGGGGACTGTCCCGTCAGGGACACCTGTCAGCCCATTCAGGGGCTCAAGTCCCAAACCACGGCCCCAGGGGCTTCCACCCAGTGTCCCCTCACTGACACTGGTCATCAGGCTGGGCACCGGGCAAAAGGACTTGGCGCCACCCTGCTGGGGTCCTGTGGGCAGCCCCTCATGAGGGCCGCGGTCACCAGTGGAGTGGCGACAAGGAGCCAGGGCCAACCTCCCAGGGACCCAGGACGGCAGCCTCACCTGCGTGTCAAAGCCCTCTGTGCTGGTGGCCAGCTCGTCTCTCCTGGAGGCTCGGCCCGGCGTGGCGGGCGGAGGGACACTTCCTGAGCCTGTGTCACGGGGCGGGAAACGGGGCCACATGGCCCGCTGGGAGCTGGTTCCCTGGGCCTGACTTGGGAGCGACAGTGAGCACAGCCAGGCCGTGGGCTGGACTCCCTTGGGACCGGGGACCTGGCACCTTAAGTCATCACCTTGGCATGGGACAGCCCTGGCCAGGCGGCCCATCTCCCGGATGGGAAGACTGAGGCTCAGAGGGGTCCAGTATGGCCACAGTGTTCTCCCCAGGGGCACTGAAACCACATCCTATCCCCGCTACCAGAACGGGTGGCTCTTCCATTGGCAAGTGCAGCAAAAGAAAAAAGTTTTTTGAGACAGAATCTCTAGTTCAGGCTGGCCTTGAACTCACAGCAATCCTCCTGCCTCAGCCTCCTTAGTGCTGGGATTACGGGCTCGGCTAAAAAAGTTTTGTTACGGAAAAAAAAATGTATCTGCGCACACAGGGCCTCAACAGCTCGCTCTGAGGAGCAGCTGGCAGCAGAGTGGCTCTGCCGGCCACTTCTCCCAACACCTTGCCCACCTGGCTACCCACCTCTGCCGGGACTGGCCAGGGACAGGGCATTTCCAGAGGGAGCCCCAGTGAAACCGACCGGGGGCAGCACCCCCTGTGTACTGTGAACTGCCCGGCACAGCAGCGCTGGGAGGGGGCCTGCCCTGACAGCAGGCCTCGGGGTGAGCGGCCAACGTCCCAGCCTGGGACAGCGTGGACAGACCGGACAGATATCACCTCGTGTACCCCGACTGTGGGGCTCGTGGTGACAGGAGTTAGGGCGGTGGATGTCTGAGGGTGGTGGGGTCCCCGGGGGCCGGCCACCAGGGAGGCGCTTGGTGACCGACAGGGTCTGTACACAGGAAGTGGGTGCCCTTTGACACCTGCCCCCCTTCAGGTCAAACAAAAGCCCGACAAGAAAACAGCCACAGGCGGTGACGAGGCTCCTATTCTGCCGAAAGCCAGGAAGAGAGGGTCCAGCACACGGCCGCTTCTCAGTAGGAATCACGAGGCTTGGGAAAAGGATAGGGAAACTTTTGTTTTTGTCTTTTTGAGACAGGGTCTTACTAGTAGCCCAGGCTGACTTTGAACTCATGGTGATCCTCCTGCCTCAGCCTCCTGAGTGCTGGGATTATAGGAATGCACCACAATGCCCTGGTGTTAAAAGGTGTTTTTTTTGTTTGTTTGTTTTTAATTTTGAGACAAGGTCTTGCTAAATCACTAAGCTGCCCAGGCTGGGCTCAACCTTGGAATCCTCCTGCCTCAGCCTCCCAGAGTGCTGGGCCTCCATGCCTGCCTTCCAATTTTCTTTTAATGAGAATGCTTAACTTTGATACTGGACATGGGTAAGAGTGGTAAGGTCACTGGTGACAGCTACATTAAACCAAATGAGACACCCAGCCCCCTGTGACAGTGGGTGGCCATGGGGGTACTGACGGGGCCGATTCCTGGGAGAGGGCCTGCTCCCCTTAATAAAAAGCTCAGTTTTAAAGCAGCGCTGCCCATGTGAGATGCCCACGGTCCAGTAGCAAAATCAACAGAAAAAGGTACAGACTTCTCCAAGGCTGCTCTCGGGGCAGGGGCTGCCGGCCACAGGGCAGCGGCTCAGAACTGCTGGGGGCCAGGACAAGTGTCCCCAGCCTGTCGGGACGCCACAGCTGGGTGAGGCCTGCCCTCCACAAGTCGCAGAGGAGGAGGAGCTCCTGTCTGGAGGCGGAGCTCACAGCTGTTCAGCACGGGGAAACTTGAGACCTAAACTCTGAGCTGCCCCTGCCAGCCTGTCCCCGGCTGCTCCCAGGGTGGCCCGGTGGTCAGCCCTGAGCAGGACACTTAGGGGCCCCTACTTACCAAGGACGCCTGACCCTCAAAGAAGCCGTGTGCTTCTCGGAACTCACAGCACAAACGACCCCAGGCGCCGGGCAGCACCTGGGCCTCCGCCCGCCGCCTGGTCCCCTCGCGTTACAGATGAGGCTATCTGGGCCCCGAGGAAAGTGAGTGACCCAAGGTCTGACAGGCTCGGCCTGGACCGGGGACAGCACTTTTTAAGGTCAAAGCCAGCACCGAAGGCCAGGCCCTCAGCCTGTGCTGGGAGAGATCCCAGGCCAGCATTAACAAGTTCCTTTCTTTGCCAACAAACACCTGCTTTGCTGGAAGAAGGAGGTGACAGGAGGTCCTGCTCGGCCTGCTCCCAAAGAGCTGCACGAGGCCTCCAGCTCTGGCCAGGCTTGGGAAGAGGAGCCCAGTGCTGCGGCCAGCACATCCAGCAGGTGTGGCCTGCGCTGCGTCCCAGGGCCGGCAGCAGTGCCGGGTCCCACTCGGCTGCCTTGAGGCTGGAAACCCTGACATCTGGGGAACTTGTGCGGACCTTTCTGGCTGGAGGAGGAGGACTTCCCTGCTGCTCTTCTGGGTGTGTGACAATCTGGAACTCTGGTTTATCAAGGCGGGACCACATGGGGAAGAAGTGGCTGCCTCAGTGCCTGCCCTCAGGCCACCATTCCCAAAGTCCAGGCCACGAGCAGGAGGTGTCCCTTAGGTCTTTAGGCATGGGCATCTCTGAGGTGACACCAGCCTCAGAAACACTCAGTTTATCACTCAAGAGAATCAAGCCAGTGCTGGCGGTGGTGGCGCACGTGTGTAATCCAGCTCTCCGGGAAGCTGAGGCCGGATGGCAAGTTTAAGCCCAGCCCGGGAAATTTAACAATTTAATAAGATCCTGTCTCAAAATAAAAAATTAAAAAAGGGCTGGGGATGTAGCTCAATGAGAAGGCCCTGGGTTCAAATTCCCCAGTACCACAGGAAGAAAAAAGAAAGAAAATAACTGCCCTGTGATGACGTTAACAGGAAATACATTTTGGTTTCTCTGTATCTGTGTATTTCTTCTCTGAACTTTCCTTTCTTTCAGGAAGGTGGCCGCAGGCGTTCTCAACCAGGACAGCGTGGGCGCCCACCCTGGCTAAGAGGAACCTGCCCTCCGGCACCTCAGCCTCAGCTGGCCAGGCCAAGAATGAACTTGGCCGTGAACCGCGGAGGACTCGGCCCCAGCGGGGAGGCATCAGGACAAGCCCAGGGGAAGGTGCAGCCCACTCTCCAGGGGGAAAGCACCCACCCCGGCGTCCTGGGGAACTCGACTCTACCCTCGTTCCAAGCCCCGTGGGGTGACCTTGAGCCTTGAGCTCCGAAGGCCTGTCCAGCGTGTGCACCCAGGACGCTAACTCACCTTGACCGTGTCGAATGGGTGTCCCACGAGCACGCCCGCCACGCCTGGAGGGAGAAAGGGAGAGCGTGACCAAATATCCCAGAACCCGGCTGGGGGTGAAGGGGGGGGTTACGGCAAGGGGGATGGGGCAGGTGCGGCTGGGGGAAGGGACACTGACCATGGCCCCGCCAGGCTCCGGGGCACCTTGAGTCCCTGCAGCCCTCCTTCGGGTGGGGGAGGCGTCCCAAGGACAAGCTGGGCCTTGCCCAGCTCCTGCCTGGCGTCCCTCCATTCCTGCCCCGTGGTGTACGGGGCTTGGGGTGGCTGACCCTGGAGGTCACCCTGGACATGATGCACACAGCATTTCTGGGGTACCCGCTGCTCTAATGCAGGGTGGCCCTGCAGAGCTCTGGGCAGTGGGCCCCAGGAGGCGCTGGCCCCCGGCCGAGGCTTAGCGAGGTAGGCGTTGGCCGACACCGCCCCTCGGGAGAGGGAGCTGCCTCACGCCCAGGGAAGCATCTGGTGACTTCTCGGTCACGCTTGGTTATGTATCAGCTCAGAGCCTGCCAACACCCAGCCCCCGTGGAGGAGAGCGCTCGCCTGGCCTTCCGAGCGGCTCACACACACTCCCAGAGTGCTGCGTGCTGCAGCAGACGCGAACAGCGCTGCGAATTCTTGTGCCACCACTGCAGCCTTGCTACCCCTTGTCACAGGAGGAGGAACTGCAGCCCAGGGAGGCCCACCACCGGCTCGGTCCCGTGCTGCCTCCCTGGGGCTTCCTGTGCGCATGTCTCCAAGGTCGACCTGGGGCTGAGGGTGCACCTCCACGTACAGTGCTTCCCTAGCACGCACGAAGCCCTGGGCTCCACCCGCCAGATACGACCCTTTCCTCTTTTTCTCCCTCCTCCCTCACCCCCTCTCCCCGGGCCGGGGATGGGATCCAGGACTGCATGTATGTTTCACAAGCATTCTACCACTGAGCTGCGTCTCCAGGCTTTGGCTTTTTTGAGACAGGGTCTTGCTCTGTAGTCCAGGGCAGCCTTGAACGCCTCCAACTCTTGTCAGTCCTCCTGCCTCAGCCTCCCCAGGGCTGGGATCACAGGCGTGTGCCACCGTGTCTGTTGAGTTTTGTCCAACTCTTAGTTCAGAATCTTTTCTAGTTTTAGATGTTTCTTGGAAACAGTCCACAGCTGGCTTTTGTTCCCAGCCTAGTCCGAAGCAGTCTCAGATTTCACCGAAACAGATGAGAGATCTGACGTCATGCCATCTTATTTTATGTGATTTATTTCATTCCTTTCGCTTTCCACGTTTGCGTAGGTTCGGGCAAATGACTGTTTATCCTCTTTGTGCTTTTCAGCTTTCTAAGTTTAACGAAGTACTCCATCTTCCCGACCCGCCTCACCCTGACTGGCCACCAGGTGAAGACCCCAGACCTCAGGCGCTCGCGGCCCCTCTGGCCCCACCTTCTTAGGGTCTTCAGGAGACTCCAAGGTCACACCGTCCCGCTCCTCCCCTCTCAGGTCTCTGCTCTGATCGCCCGCCACTGGCTGGACCCTCCCTGGTCCTGTCCCTCGCCATCCTGCAGGACAGATTTCTTAGCGGGCCGGAGCAGCCCTTGCTCCTGGAGGATTCCTGGTGCCGTGCGAGCCCTCGAGCTCCTGTTTCTTTGGCAAGAACTGACTCTGCGAGCCCACCTGCAGGTTTCAGGAATGTCACCAGGGATGCCACAGGTGTCTTTCTTTAACCCTGCCTGGGACTCCTCCACCGCCCTTGCCTGCGGTTCCGCCCTCTCCGAGCTGGGAAATTTCCGCGATTACCAGTTCCTCAGATCCCCCAGCCCAGGCCCCTCTTCCTCTCGGCGCCCAGCTGTTTCCCGTCTTCTGGGGGTGCACTTTGCTTCTTCCTTCTGAAGCCCACCCGCCTTGTCACTTCCTGTGTGCAGTTTTCTGTGTGTGCATTTCCGGTGCTGGGGTAGAAACCAGGGCCTCGAACATGCTACGTAAATGCTCTACCACCGAGCTGCACCCAGCCTCTTTTTAGAATGTTCCAAATCTTTAAGTCTTGGTTCCAGAATGTCTTTTTTTGTTTTGTTGTGTTCTCTGGGACAAGATCTTAATTTGTAATTCAAGCTGGGCTTGAATTTACCGTGTAGCCCAGCAATCCTCCTGCCTCAGCCTCCTGAGCGCTAGTATACAGGTTTTTGCATTTCTACTTTCTCCCCTCCCTTGGTTGGTGCCCTCAGGTAGGGGCTGAGCCCCCCACCTAGCGCATCCCCGAAAGTGGGGAGCGGGCTGCCTCCCCGTAGCTCTATCCTTTCAGCCTGGGCGACAGATCTGTCCCCTTCCAGGGCACTGCCTCATGGCTGAGCACCCCGATGTGGCTCTTGCTGCCCACGCTCCACCCAGAGCCCCGTCTGTGTGGCTCTGAATTGGAGACTGAACCCCACAGTGAGGGGGAGACCGTCCAACCCTCCCACAGCTGGGCACCTCAGGAGCTGTCCACCCATCAGTAACGGGGCCAGTCCACCTGGGGGTGCGAGGCTGTCCTGGACACCCCCCGCAGAAATCCGAACCAGGAGCCAGCAGGAGAGGCTCCCATCACCCTACCCTGACCCTCCAGGGAGTGGCCCAAACCAGAAGGGCCAGGTGCCCGGGCATGCGGCTGCCAGCCGTTCCGGGCAGCGCGTGCAGCCTAGGCCGGAAGGCGAGCCCGGTCACTGTGGGTGCCACCATCCCCCAAGGCCCCATGCCTCCTCAGGAACACAGCAGGACCCCGCACCAGTCCCCGACCTCTCGGGATGAGACCCTGCCAGGGTGACTCCACCCTCATCCCCGCAAAGCTCAGACCCGCACGTGCCCAGCCATGATGCCGGGGGGCACCGCTCACCCAGGTCTGGCACGAGGACCAGGGACTGCGGGGTGGCGAGGCCATCTGCCTCGCCTCTAACGCTGGGGCAGGACCTGGTGGCTGGGGCACAGGGGGCGCGGACGTCCCAGGCGGGGGCTTCCGGAGCCGAGCCCCATCCCGGGAGGGGTGAACAGGGGGCTGGGGGTCTCTAGGCAGGCCCAGCCTAGGAAGGAGCCCTGCCTCGGGAGGGTAGGCCACACTTCCCAAGGGGCTGCAGAGGGGCCCACCGAGGCCTCACCGTGGAGGGGGGCTGAGAGACGAGCCCACAGAGATCAGGCCCCTTCCCGGCCCTCCCGCACCCCGCGCTGGGAAGAAATCCCCTATGGGTTGGCAGGAGCTCAAGCTCGGCCATTCCTCCTCCTCCTGGGTTCCAGAGGCCGGAGCGGTAACGGCCCGGCAAGTACCTAAGCCCCTCAGGACCTCTGCTGCCCTGGCCGGCCGCCCAGCCTCCGCGCCCGGCCCGGGAGGTAACAAGCACAGAGCAGCGCTGAAGGAAACGTCAGCGTCTCCGCTCCCAGGGCGCGGGAGGCCTGCAGCGAGGGCGAGGACACGGCGGGCCGCCCAGAGGAGCCACGGGCCGCGGCGACGCACGGGCTTGCG